ACAGTTGGCCTCCCATGGTGTGTGAAGTGGAAAAACGATCCCGTAAAATCGCGAAAGACAATAGCCTTCAGTGGACTTGAGGCTTCCGCTGATCGCGCGACACGTCGTAACCGATCTAGTGTGTAGCGCAGGTTAACCCAAAATCCATCACAAGTGGCCACTGGCGGTCCTGTGTTTTAAAGTCAGTTCCTTCTCGTCTTGACTACATTTGCAGGATTTTTCTAGTATCGGCTTGTATCAATTTACCCACTTGTTTTCACCCTTTTATTTTTCCAATCCACTTTGAAAACTGTCAGCAATAACACTCCACGAAAACCGCAGCAGTATACCAAAAATGTTTCTTTTTCTGCTTGCTTTACGTTGTTTGTGTGCGTTGATAGGTGCCAGACCGACGTCATATCAACATAAGCATCCTTATAATCGCACTTCCAATGAATCTCATACCTGTTTATTTTGACCAAAGACGCCACGCTATTTTCCAGTGTTGTAGTCGAGTACTTTCATTTATACGGCCAAATATTGAACTGATTATGTAAACAAAGCTTGAAATCGTGGAAATAATGAATGCACAGGTGTATTACAAAACACATCGAAGGTTTTTAGACTCTCACAGTTGTCTGCAATTCGACGATTTGTTTTAGGACCAAACTCTTTTCTCCTTAAAACTTATTTTATTTTACCAAAATGTGTGAGTGTCTGAAGATTTAAATTTATTGTGTATTCTTTCCTTTGTACATTTGTCTTCCTGACAAAGATCAATGTCACAGGCTAATTTGGCGACCGGGATTAATAACCATTTCTGCAGTGGCACTACCCCCGTGCATAAGATAATAGTACGCTCGCGTTCGATGCCTCTTTTACCAGGCCGCTCCGTGCAGGAGCAGAATATGTCATGCTTCGAGGATTGGTATGAATATTGTTTCTTGGAGTCCATAGGGCCTAACAAGAGAGTACCTAAACATAACCTCGTCCCCATGGCATGGTGTGTGCAGTACGCCCTGCTATCCTTTCCCACTTAGGGTTTAAATACTTTGAATATCCAAAATTTTGTAGACGTATGTAAATGAGGAATAGTCTGATGTCTGACTGTGCTTTTAATCAGCGTTCGTTTGAAGGCGCCTTTCCATATGAACGTTTTTTGGGTGCGTTGCACACACGATGCGTTACACTCTCACGGACACAAAATTCGACTCCGTTAACGTAACACACGGATGCGTTGTGTCCGGCCGTCAAAATTGCATCGAGAGTGAATTTGACAGTTACGCAAGGCTTGGCGCAAGTGTAGACGTGTTGGTGCTTTAGTATGCAATGTTTCATGTTTAATAAGAGTGAATTCTTTTCAGCGTGTTGTACCGAGGAGCACAACATTTTCAAAGATAAAAGGTCCAAGTCTCATTGAACCAACATGCAGTATTGCATTTTTCATATTTATAATCAAAATAGAGAATAATAGGAGATTCTTTAGAAGGGAAATTGGGCGTAATAATTCACAGCAAACGTGAAAACAAGTAATATGCGTTGGAATAGTCACCAAGTACACGAGATGACTCGTTATTTCGCTGTACCTGCACAAATCAGGATACAGGAAGACAGTCTGCGCGTCTTTGGATGAGGGCAGGTAGCGGGAAGGCGTACTGCACGCACCATGGGGATGAGGTTGACCCGAACCATTAAAAACCTTAGTTAGCTTGCATGACTAGCAAGGCTAAAGTGTTGCCAGGGAGTCGGTGCTTCTTAAAATTTCCTTTTGACGATATTTAGCACTTACGAATAGCGTCTATGCAACAACTGACAGTTATTAGGCCTAGTTACACTTGTTACTATTGTCTCCAGTCCTTGTCACTGTGCCTAAGCAGAAGTGATTGTCATTGCTATAGAAACTGAGATTGCTGATAGACTTTATGTTTTTTCTTGAGGGATACCTCTAATGCAAAATGCAATCACTGACATGAGCAGCTGTAACAACGAAGGCACTCCGTCTCGTCTCTGGTCAGTACATATGGCATTATGTATAGCTTGCATCCAGACACGCAGAAATCTCCCCCATTTCAAAGTTAAGGATTGAAAAGACGATGATGTATCGACCTTGGGAAACAAATATCCCGGTTTTATGATGTGCCCTAATTGTTTGCTCTTTTATACAATGGTTTGTATCGTTGTGAGTGGAATAATGTATTTTGATTTTGGTCGTTTAATGGTAAATGTTCTAGGTGTATTGTACAGTCTGCTGTAAGTTTTCCCAGGAAGAAAACTTCCTCAGGTAAGGAGGGTATTTGAACTCTTAGCTCAGAATACGTCACTAAATAGACAGAACTCCAGAATTGCCAAGAACTGGGTCAGGTCAGCACGGGTGTTATAGCGCGTGTGCATAGTTGGTGGGTGGATGTACCAGACGAAACCGCCGGTAGTCACGTAACTGTGGGGCTGGAGGGAATATGTCCTCCCAGTGGAAGTCTTTCTTGCCCTCTACCACCACACGCACCCGCTTGGGATGTCCCTCCCTTTTTGAATTTTGCAATGTACACAACTCTCAGAGTATTATCTCTTTACAAAATTTAGAAGCCATTTACCGTGCATGCCGAAACCACGCTCGTGAACATGTGGTTCATGCGCGTTATACACCTTTTCAATCAGTAGAGGGTTTGCTTGATCGCCATCTTGCAGGCCAGTGCTTTTTTCACATCGTTTATGCACAAAGGAGATTCCCCTGTGGAACGGAATTGCCCTGCAAGATGGCTACCATGCAGAGCCTCTATAGAGGGTACTGTAATTTGCCAAAACGCATACGCATCTTAGACATTCATGCGTGCAAGAGTGTTTTGCCACCTCCGTGTAAGCGTCGTCTTAAACAAGTTAGTCACTGCTCAGTTGTTTTTTGTGCCCCTTAAAAGAATATACTGCACCTCGGTCGGATTCCCCTCTGGAGAATCGCCCACACAGAGGAACGAATACATGTGGTGATGTTGAAATTACGACATTTTGCCTGTATCACAACCTCATTCTGTACCTCATTCTGTACCATTAGACGTTGGAGTCATAACCATTAAAAATAAAATGTACCATTTGTATTTTTATCTGTTTCAGTTTCCATTTAGCGCTTTATATTCATCGAAATACTCCGTGTGCGTCAGTCGCGTAGCTAGGATTTTAATGCATGGGGGCAACAAAGGGGCACCAGCATCTTATGGGGGCACCAGCTTTCATTTTGTAGTGTTTGTTAGCCTTGTTCAGTATCCGTTTTGTTTCAGTTGGGGGGCACCTGGGGGGCACCGGGAATTTGTAGGGGGGGGGCACGTGCCTTCAGCCCCCCCCGGATACGCCACTTATGTGCGTAACCTATAAACTATCCCATAGTCGGGATTTCAACCCAAAAGTAGGCCGATAACCCGAGGAGACAGGTGCTTAGGTCTATACTCGGGAGGGACGTTATGAACTCATTTGCCGGAGTAAATCCTAGGGTTCACTCAGAAATCAAGAGCATATTATTCGAGACAATGTTTGCCAGCAGGTATGGTCCCAGCGGCGCGTGTATATTTGCAAGCCTTCCGCTACTAATTTGCTCACACACTCGTAGGGATGGTTTCTGGCCCCTGTGCAGCCACCGGTACACCGATTCCATTTCCCAAGTTCACAAGCGTTTGGTACATGAGTATACATGAATTGGGTCTCTTGTCACATCCTTCTCCTAACTTTAAAATGGGTCAAACAATTCCTTACTTTGACATTTACTAAGTGCTGCCTGGCACGGGCTCTGTCCCCCTATCCCACAGCAAATAATATATCTGGAAATCATCTGGCCGTGCATTCGACGAGCTTGATAGGGCTTGGTAAGAACAGATTGTATGACAACTAAAAGCAATATTGTATTATTTTTATTTCATCGCAATTTAACACTAAACAGAAGCAAAAAATTCAAGCAAACCCAAACAAACAGAAAAAATAAAAAAAGCCTTAAAAAACACTGCGTTGACATCTGAAACTGATTATCAATCAAATTCCACTTTAGTTAGTTTCTTTGTCCAATAGAATTTTGATTAGGACTTAACTTCTCTGTGTTTTTTTAAAATACTTTTGCAATAATTCTAGAGTCGGTAATTTGGAGTAATGGTCTACAAACAGTTTTGAGTTCGCATACAAAATTTGCTTCGCAAGCCGCGCCCTTGGGGGATATTGGGTAAAAAAAAATTGGATCCATTTTACAGTTTTGCATCCAAATAATAATTGGCGACGACTTTGCACTTACGTGTCAGACTCTCTGGGGAAAAGTGTACCACCGCGACTTCCGCTCTGGGAAAAGCTTGGCACGCAGAGGATTACCTTGGCCATTCCATTTTGTTTCAGGACGCATGTAATTCTTTGGCAAGCAAACGAGGGGCCGGGCTTGTTTCACTCTTTTACTGAAAATCTTTATCTCGAGCAGGCCTTTGCCTGATCGCAATGCGGAAACTCCGCAAAGAGTTGGATTGAAACTTCTTCTAAATGCGCGAAATGAAAAGCAAAAAATCACTGTATTAAATTGTTGGCTGTTAATCTTTGGAAAAAATACAAGAAATGAATCTTTTTCGGTTTTTGTGAAATCGCTTTTTGAAAAGCTTAAAGGTAAGAGATGAAGACTTACAGTGAACTCAAAGATAATGGCGATTGTTTAACGGCCCACTGTAAGAGCGTGAATATGTGTCAAAGTGAGGTGGGCCAGAATGTTGCACTTTGTATGAAACCGATCAGGCTTAACGTCGCTGACGACAGAGTCTCACGTTCCGTGGGCTCTCGAATCCCGAACCAACAATACCATTTCAAAACTATTCTATGTCAGTTCTTGTAAATTTCCACATTCAAAGTATACTAAAAACAATTCAATTGTATCATGGTAAATGAAGTTTGGTCTACATTATCCCACGTAACAGTATAAATGCAAATACACAAATACTGAACTTAAAATAAGAGTAAATAATATTTGATAAACAATGGGAGGGAAAAGGGCGGAGGCAACTTTTACTCACCTGTATGGCAAACGCATAGTAACAGGAAGAAGAGTGCCGTGCATACATTAAGGCGCATCAAAGTCCCTTCAGTACAAAAAGGCATTGTCTTGTCGGAGGGCATATGAACGGAGGACAGAAACCGGACTTCGATACTGATGACAGAGGCTTGTGTCTGAAGCTCAGTGGGGGAATGGGTTTTGTGTGTGTGTGGGATAGCTAGCCGACCACGTTAACTTTCACTGGTATCCACAGGCGGGGAATCGTCAAAGCATGTACAGGAACCAAATGTGTGGCGGCAAAACCAAAATAACTGGCCAATCCGTGCGCTGCTGCTTCAGCTGAGCACTGCAGATATGCTCGTCCGAGAGTGGTGTTGGAACAACAGTAATGAGGACAATAATGGCGATCACGACGGCTCAGGTGATCTTAGGAACAACCTTTTCTCGGTCGTAATTTGAATAATTGCGCGTGAAGTATCCATAATAAAGACCGGCCACTCTAGAGAAAAAAAAAGTTGTCACTAACACAGCGACTAAAACCTTTTTTAAAGAAGGTCACATTTGGTGTTTATATTTTCGGTCTCCTTTCTTTTAAACACGTACCTTAGGTCAGTTTTTAAATCATAGTTTTGCCACGAATTCTTGTAGGTTTTAGTTTTTTAGTCATGTTTTCCTCGTGTTTCCTTGCTTTTCCCCTTTTGGTTTTCGATCTTTGGCGGCTTTCCTAAAGCAAAAGTTGCATCAAAACCCTTGCCAAACTTTCCGAAATTGTTAGTCAATTTGGAGTTGTTCGTTGAACAATAGGAGGCGAAAAGGAACTGTTTTTGAGTTAAAACTACGGACTTCACACATACCAACAAAACCAAATGACCAAACCGCGTTTACAGGTTTGTCATCTTAACTGCTGAAGGCAAAAGACTCAATCATAAATGACCCTGTTGCAGCGCTTTGAGATTTTACTTAGCAACATTGCCACTTTCTTAATACATCTTTTCAACATTTGGAGTGCATCATGGGATTTGGTGATAAACAAGCATTGCTCTTTGTTCGCAATCCTTTAGAAACAAAAAATTCAGTTTCCCCCTAATTAATAGCTCGAAATCAAGCTAACCTCTTTCACACATTGTCGCACTGAAGATTTGAAATAAAGCTTACCAGAAAAAAGTAGGGATTCCATTGCACGAGGGCGAGTTTCTGTCTTTAAGCAAGATCGAACATGGCCAAATAATGAATATCAAAGTCGTTTATTGACAAATCATGTTCATTTTACAACACATCGTGACTGGTGCCCTTACAAACATGGCATTAACAGGGCAGTTTTCTTCTTTCGATATGAGCTTAAAGGGTAACTGAAATGAAGTTTCTTAAGCCCAGTTTTTCTTTAACTGTATAATCCTTTTCACTATTTGGAAAGTTTTTTAGACTCCCTGTTGGGAAAATGCATTGAAAACTGCACTGTTTCACATTTTTGAAATTACCCATGCTTTCCTGGACTACTGAGGGCGCTGTTGCTATTATGTCATCTTGGGAACACATACTTCAGTGCACAGGTTTTCTGTTCAAATTGTGAACACAAAATTTACTTACTGAAAACTTTTCTGAGAAAGGGTTTAATACTTGCTAATTCCTATGCATGTAAACAACAATAAAAAGCGAAGAAGAGAAAAATGTAGTCCAGTAAAATCTGCTAAAAGGCAGTAATTTTTGTGTACAGTACAATGTAAAATGGGATATTTTTTCCTGAGATGACATAAAAGTTTTACTCGTGACCCTTTGAAATTCTGAAACAAACGTTGAAAAAAGGGTTAACTGAAACACAAAGGTGTATTCTAAAGGTTTATATTTAAATAAGTTGATTGTTTGGTTTGTTTGTCATCCAACCCCACAATAAAATGCGATAAGAATGTCAGACAGCTTTATGAAAAGTCCGCTGGCGCATAATATGCCCTTTAGATCCGAAACATCGAACGCCTTGGCTATAAATTTCCGTTGCTGTCGGGAACTGAAGGTAAACTAGTAGCCCGTTTCCAGTGGCCCAAGCTGACAAAACCCCGAGACTCAACCTTTCTGACCTTCCGTCTTCGGATGTCGGTCTACAAGTCGAGTGGGCCTCGACGGCAGACGAGGACCGGTGACTGTCCCGCCCCTCGGGCGTCAACAACACGCCTGCTGACGAGAGAAAATTCACGTCCATTCATAAATATTTCGTCCGTTGGATGACGAAAGTGTTATTAGCGCCCCACGATTTATGAGCATAAGATGCATGCCGGCTTACGAAGGAAAAGGTTAAGCCTGTATAATGTCACACGATAACGAATGGAAATACAGTTTCCAAAAAGAGGAAATCACTGTTTGATTTTATTTTTGGTTTTTTTTTGTGAATGAATTCCTAATTCACCGTGCGTGTTAGAGATGCTGATGTACTTAGGTGACACCATTCCACAACCGCAGCCCCCTTGACCCATTGTATAAATTTTTATTTTCATTTTAGACAATAGAGTGTGTCACCAATAGTATGCGGGGGTGCCTCTGTAGCTCTGGCACGTTTGATCATATTATGATTCTGTTCAGTTTTGTACATATACAGCTACTGCAGTGAATTTAAACGGGGTGCACGGTTCCTTCCCTAGCAGCTTTGTCAGTGGTTGGGCTCTGTGTTCACGCCTCATGCTTTGTTTAACCGTGGCCCAGAAAGAGCCGGACGCATCCTCTCTCCTATACAGCTCATGGCCCGCCCCGCCCCGCGAGACTTCACCGCCACGATTGTTGTTTTCTTACCGAGCCAGTTTGTCGGATGACATTGCTAAGAGCGACCACATTCCCCAAACGCTATAATAAATGTACATGTACATGTAATGACAAACATGTATAGAGATCCCCTGTTTAGATCGTTGCCCATCTTACTGCCGGGGGACGGTCGGAACCCCCCCCCCTCGTAAATTCGGCTGTTATAATATCTGGGTTTTTTTTTTAGAAATTTGGCACTGTTCAATATTTAAAAACTTGGCAGGCATGTATAGACAATCATTATGGGTACATCTGTGAAGTTTTCCATCCAATATATTGATACCGTCATTTGGAGTTAATGACCTCCGTCATGCGTGTCGGCCCGTGAGCTCATCAAGGCGCAAAGTATCGGACAAATGGGCATTTTACATGAACAGTAGGTCTGATTTTCCCAAAATTGGTGTCAAAATGACCGCACGATACCACAGGGAGAACTCCTTGAGGCTCGGCGCCGAAAAATAAATGCACTTTACGATACTGGAGAGAAAATTGAGAGGGGTGGGGGAATCCGCGTCGGCTCTCAATACTACAAATCGTGAGCCACCATCAGCACTTCATCAGTACGTCAGCATAATCTAATCCGAGGTATGGGAACTCCGTTCTCTCGTCAAGATAATTTCTCCGAAATGTTCCATCCCTGAAGAGGTGTAATACCAAGAATACGCCTCCATGATCGCAATAAGGACACTGGTGACTTGCTTTCGTCATCGAAGGAGAAGTGGCGGGATATTCACTCCGTCTAAAGTGGCAAGTATTGTGAAGTATAAACCCGACAGTGATAATGTATGCATATATATATATACGTCTTTGCTCAAGTATGATAATTTGAAGAAACGTCTCTGGAGAATGTAACGTATAGATGTTAAATTTGACGTCATAGGAAAGGAACGCGGAGCTGCTTGACGTCCAAGGCTCGTTAAATGCTGACGCGACAATCGGCTTGTAATTTAGCAGCACAGACTTGAATGAAAACTTTGATTGAATCTGATATAATGAAATCAGAGATATTGTATATTGATGAGTGGAATAACTGAGCCGGGTCAAACTTTAAACAGTTGAATGGGTCTGCGACTAGGTCTTCATAAATTGTGTAATATTGATTTGTGAGTGTAACAAAATTAAGGCATTCGCGACGGAGGATATTGTCGGCGCAGTAATACAATTCCATGTTCGTTTTTGATAAGGCTGTGGTGTGTGATCTTTATAAAGACACGAGAGCTGGAGAAGATTGAAGACAATGTCTTTTGGGCAGAAATGGACGAACGATAATCTGCCATTCGTCCCCACTCCTTAAATGTGGCGGACAGGCTGAAACTCCAAAGAATTCATCTTCCGTCAGTCCCTTAAATTTCTCAGACGAGAAAATCTAAAAGTTTAAGCTAGACTGGTGCGAAACGCTTCCTTAAAATCCCATTTTGCAAAACAGTAAGGATTTAGAAGTAACTTGAAGCGAATCGAAGTATGGTCACCCCAGGCCTCTATATGGTGCTCCCAGAAATTTGCCGTTTTTATTTCAGCCACTGAGTGTGTGGCCTGCTAGGGTAACATTGAATTTAGGTCGCTTTTTTGTAACGATGGTCACTGACAGTCCAGTAGTCATGTCATGTTGCGGGAGGTGATTAGGCCATGCACAATGGTCTCTAGATTAGCATTGATACTAGCTCTGAAAAAAAAATAGACTGAAGAATATCTTTATATTGCAGACCTATAGCTAGCTGCCAAAAGAGCATTCCTGCTCGCAATTTTTTGACAACATAGTAGGGGTGACCAGACTTTAAAGAAAGCTTTAGTCGTGGCCCTGGTACATGTTTTCCAAGGGGACGCTAAAGTACTACGAAGCTTCCATCCATGATGAGGCGTATAGATCAGTCTCCTCTCAAGAGTGGCAATAAAACCATTTTCTGCTGTACATCCAAAAATGGTTGTACATTGAAAAAAATTTGCTCCCTGCCTGATGTTGGCATTGTTGACACGTGGTTGCAAGAGGGTTCTTATTAATTCCCGCCAGCGATAAATCGTGTATGCCTGGGCGATTAGCAATACCGGAGGGCAAGTTCGAGCTACGAGTATGTTAACTATAGTTCGACTAAACACCACCCGAACGATGGATGGTTTGAACTATCTAGTTGACCATTTTGGACCAGGCCCAGGGGTGTGGTCGCACCCAGCTATCAATCATAGCCAATTTCATTAATCATTACAAAGGGAACCATGAAAATAACTGTTTCATAACTGAGATTTCATTGACCATGTACGCTGCTCGAATCTCAGCCAAAGGTGAAATGTAAGTAACGATGGGACTTCAAGTTTAAAAATTGACCGACTAGGGTCGTTCGAGTGTAACAGAATTGCGCATGCGCATTGTTTTGTCGACCTAGCCCGGAGTTTCTAGTTGTTCAGGGTGCAGACCACTAATTCAAGTGAGAATTT